TATGGAAACCCTCCCATTCACAATAACCTAAAAAAATCTCAGAGTAAACCTGACCAAAGACATTAAAGACCTCTACAGTGAAAATTTTAAATCTTTAAAGAAAGAGATTGAGGAAGACATCAGACGATGGAAGGACCTCCCATGCTCATGGATTGGAAGAATTAATATTGTGAAAATGACCATCCTACCAAGAGTCATATATAGATTCAATGCAATGCCAATCAAAATCCCCATGACATTTTTCAAAGAATTGGAAAACACTATCCTAAGATTCATACGGAAGCACAAAAGACCTCGGATAGCCAAAACAACCCTGAGCACAAAGAGCAATGCCAGGGGGATTACTATACCAGATTTTAAGCTGTATTACAGAGCTATAGCCATAAAAATAACACGGTACTGGCACAACAATAGACCCATAGATCAGTGGAACAAAACTGAAGACCCAAACATGAGTAAATGCAATTTCATCCACCAGATATTTGACAAAGGGGCCAAGAATATTCACTGGAGGAAAGACAGCATGGTCAGCAAATGGTGCTGGCAAAACTGGATCTCCACCTGTAGAAGAATGAAACTAAACCCCTATCTTTCACCCTGCACAAAAGTCAATTCCAAATGGATCAAAGACCTCAATGTAAAGCCTGAAATTCTGAAACTATTAGAAGAAAACATTGGCAAAAACCTACAAGATATAGGCGTAGGAAATGATCTTCTAAACCGGACATCAACTGATCAGGAAACAAGGGCAAGAATTAACAAATGGGACCTCATTAAACTAAAAAGCTTCTGTACATCAAAGGAGGCAACCACAGTATATGGTTGATTGGCCCCATTGTTTTTAGGCCTATTGCAAAAGCATGTGGTGGAACAAAGCTGCTCACTTTATAGCATGCAGGAATTAAAGGAGTGAAGAAGAGATTGGCATAACCCACAGTCCCTTTTGAGGACATACCCACAATTACAAAAATCTTGCCAATAGACCCTACCTCTTAAAGGTTTCTGCCACTTTCAATAGCACTGTGCTAAGAATCAAGTGTTTCAACTTTGGAGAATGTTTCAGATCCAAGTTATAGCAATGTCCTCTGAGGCCCAGAGAAACAAAGTTCTGAGGAGATGACCTAATTGATAAAGTGCTTTCCAAGCAAGCTTAAGAACCTGAGTTCAGATCCCTATCACCCACAGAAAAAGCCAGGAATGGAAGCACAAGAAGGCGGAGACAGAAAGACCCCAGAGGCTTGCTGGTCAGCCAGTCCACCTGAAGCAGCAAGCGCCAGGGTTAGTGAGACTGTCTTAAAAATACAGTGATACAATAGCTGAGAAATGGAAACAGCCTAAATGTCCCTCAACTTGCAAATGGTTAATGAAAATGTGGTCCATCTACTCAATGGAGTTCTACTCAGCAGTAAGAAAAGATGAAATTATGAAATTTTCAGATAAATGGATGGAACTAAAAAACTGTTATACAAAGTGAAGTAACAGACTCAGAAAAAAAAAAAAAAATCAACATATGTTCTCCCTCATATGTGGATCCTAGAACCAGACTCCTGATAGATAAGTATGCAACCAGACATAACTACAGGAACCAGGATAATGGAAAGGAACCAGGGATGTAAAGGAAAAGAAAGAACCTGAAGGAGAAGAACAGTAGGAAACAGGCCTTAATAAGGGAGATATGGTTAAAAATTGGGTTAGCTTAAAGGAGGGGGGGGAAGGAAGGGTATACAAGGAACCTAGGGGATAAAGGGAAAGAAGGAACTCAAGAGAGGTGGGACCATAGGAGAAAGGTATTAAGGGAGAAAGGGGGGAAATGGGGCCACCTTAAGAAGGAGCACAATGATGGAGGGGTGAGACAATGCGAGAGATAAATAATGCCTTACTAGTCTTGAAAACCAGAAGGAACCATATCACTCCTACAACCTACTGACAAATTATACATAGCAGATCAAGAAATATATGTCTAGGTAAGGTTTATCTGAGAACAACTGGTCTTTGCCCAAGATTTATCTGCATGACACACAGTAATTAAAAGTACCAGACTGATGAAACTAACCTTCTTAGATGTTTAACAGCCATACT